TCACCCAGCTATAGCTGTACTAAAATTAAAACAGTAAGGGGGTTTTTGAGTTTAGAAAACCAATTAATGGTTAATGTGTTGAATTAGACAGACACTTTGTCTCTGAATTTAATAATTTTTGATAGAAACAAAAATTCCTTTTTTAAATTGAAAAGGGCCCCAGTGACACATAGGAGATTCTGATCTTGATAGAAATCTACTCATTACACTTCTTTAATTTTGGACTTAGCAGAAAGGTAAGAAAAGGCTGAGGCAGGACAGGGAAATGCTGCTGTTCAAGTTGCTTGTGAGATAGATTAGTGTTTGGTGTCAGTGAAGCCCATTTCTGGTGTACTCTTACTATGGTTTTGCTGGAATATTGCTGCAATGAGTGTGAAGCCGTACTCCTCCTCGATGATCTCTAGGTAATTTCAGTCTTGAATTGTTTTGAAGCTAAATTTATTTGGGATATCAGCTACCGTTCCGTCAGAAGATATATGCTGATATTCCGGGTTAATTACTTCAGACATGAATAAATGTCTATCTGTTTTTGCCGAGATCATATATCACTTCAATATCCCTCTTCGGTAGATATTGCTTCCTGGATCTCAGGTTACAGCCAACATAAAGCCCAGCTGTCATCATGATTGATAGGCATCAGCGCCACCTGGGTCTGTAGTTTCCATGAGTCTCAGATCCGACAATGGAGAATCCTGTCGTCATTAAATATGAGTGATGACTTATCTACATGTATCAAGTCCTCTTCAAAATGCTGATTTTTAATTTTTAAAAAATTCAAAAGTAGCATTTGCACAACAGCAGCTTCCAGTGAAGCGTGGCTACAATGAGTTTGATGAGGTCTGATACTGGTGCCGGCACTGTGTTACCGCTTGAATGATTCCTTGGCTTCTGTCAAGCAGCAAGCGTATGAGTTATTGATTGAGCAGGAGTTGATTTAACACCTCTTTTTGAACATTGTAACATGGAGGTGTGTTGGTTTTATTGATGTGAGAGGAAAGCATCATTACAGATCCTGGTTCAGTACGGGTATATTATGTTGTATTGTAAGAGATCAGGTGGTATCAGGACAAATTGTACAACGTTAAAGGTGTTGATGAAACCACAGTTTTTCTATTAGAGTTGTACACATCTTCTGTATACCTGTTCTTGAATCTGTGGGGTGGTGGGGTTGCCTGCTTGTCATGTTACATGGGTACAATGTGTGAAGCCTTCCATTTCCAGTGACCCTGCCGTGATATATTGCTAAAGCAGTATAAAACCCAACTCTCTAACTTACTCACTCTCTAAATCTGTAACATACAAAGAAGTATGGAGTTTCATGTACAATTTCGGTCCTGTTCGGGGGTGGGTATCAAGTCTAAGTAGTTTAGGCTCAGTATTATTCGTTACACTGCTATACTGAGGCCCAAGAAAAACCTGGTAAGAAGGTCGCGCCAGCTAACCTTTTGGACTGATTCGGATCAGAACACAGCTTACCAAATCGCGAAAGTTCACATTGACACATATTGTTTGAGCCTTTACCTAGAAAACTCCTGAACAATTCCGAATGCTATTTTCCATAACGATCGCTTCCGAGTGATACATGCAATGGGTAAATGGTCGCTGAAAATAGCGTTTTTTGTCAATATAAGCAAAAGCATAAGCATGTATACTGCAGGTCAAATATTTGTGTTTTATGCAGATTTTCGTTTGTTGATAGATCAGTGTCAGCGATCAGAGAAGAGAAAATCAAAAGAAAACCGTTTTGTAAGTCCCGCCGAACCCTAACAAGTAGTCGTTGTCTGATTGGTTAAATCCATCTCGTCCGTCTCGCGTTTGATTGGACGGTCATAGGTCGCTGAAAGGTTAACTGACGTGACCTTGCTACGTCAGAAGACGTTAGACTCAGTATAGCAGTATTAGTGTAACGAATAATACTGAGCCTAAGTTTCCTTAGACTGGGTGGGTATAAACATTAACTTGGCCATACCATGTCAATTTCCTGTTGTCCATTCCATTACATGATCACGAAGCAACACTATTAAAATAACGTCCCGAGATAGAGCCAAATACATGTAAAACTAAATTTGAATGGAAGTAAAATTAATTAAATTTCTTAGACCAGCATCATTAAAGGTCATTTCATCCAACATCAAACTGGTATGCCATAATATTATGAAATATTGGTCCAAACTAAACTCGAAAAATACTTTTGTTTTAACTTGTCTGATGCATTATTGATGGTTTAAAATAATTAACTGATATGAATAAATATAATCTTATTTTCATAGCTTCAACAAACAAATAGTTTTTCTTTGAATTTCATTGGTAATTGAATAGCTTCACTTTCCAACAGAAGCAGCACACATTTTTCAATGAATGTATTTACTCATAAGAATTTAAAGAACTCCCTATTTTTAATAGGACTACAGTCACTACAACATTTTAAGTCATATCCTTATATCATGCCAGGCGGTAATTGACTCTCACGGGGTCACACTACGTTACTAACTGTATGTGACGTCAAATGTGACATTGGGACATTCGATGACTATTGTTAAAGCCTCGGTTGATGTTGTTTATCTGTACAAAATTTCTTTCATTTTTAGTTCATGTAGTAAATATCTTTGAAATATCCAGTGATAATCTGGCTTTGCGTTACATTTTTTGAAGAGTATATGTTATATTTCATTCTTCTTTGGTGTTTTTTCCAAACACTTGGCATTTCTGGTGCCGCAGAGGAAAACAAACATAAGGACCAATCTACAGGATGAATTGAGTCAACCTGCGTAATGATATTTGTTTCAGCGAGATCAAGTACAAGTGCCTGGGTGGGACTTATGATCCAGAATCGAGTCACATATCACTACCAGCTGAAGCTTACATCTCTTCCATCACAGGCAGAAACTAAATACATCCTCGTCTTACACAGTGAGTTCATCTGTTCATGGTAGTAACAAGTCTTACTTGCCAGTAGGAATTGACTTCAATATTTTTTATCATTTATTTTCCTTTCTCTAATACAAAAAGCCAGAAACGAAACAAGTATACGGTAGATTTGTCCACAGGTTCAGGATACCCCTTTCACTTGGGATCCTTTTCAATTTATAATGGATCTATTCTTTTCTATCAAAATTATAAACTTTTGGAGGCAAAGAAAACAGTAGTTCAGCCATGTTATAATTATGTCCACAAGTAGAAAGATTTGTACAACATAATAGTGATTGTTGATCAGGTGAGCGAGAACCCCCAAGTGTCGTGTAGTTCCTGGCGGTCGCTGCTATTCCTGCCCGGCGGAGTGTGCACGTTGTGTGGCAGAGACCTGGCCGTACAGCCAGGATTACTCACTATTTGGTCTCACTATACCAGAAGAAGGATCTTCTCAGCACCGCCAAGGTGGGTTCTTTGTGTTTTTTCGGACAGAGTACTGACCATGTCATTTTGTCTCAGGGTGTTATTTTTATCATTTGCTTCAAGACTATTTATATTCTGTGAGAAGAAAGGCAAAAAAAAAAATGTTTGGTTTCTTCATTTGTTTTAAATGTCAGTGGAAATTTTTCTATTTAAAAGGCCAAATGTTTGGGTTAAATCCCATGCGCACACACACACTTTTTGAAAAATAAAATTGAGTATGCGACCGTTTATGCATGATAAGTAACTTAAATTTTTAATGTTTGCTAATATATTGATGATTGGTAATGAAACCGGAACTGTTTCAATCAATAGAACAGACACGGTGGTGTTCGCATTATGGCCCTATATTTCTGATAGTTCATGTAGAAAACCCTGGAAACAATTAAAACATTCTTTAGACAAAACATAAACATATGCTGATAGATAATATCAATCATTAATATCTTTAAATATAACCATTTACAAAATATCATTATTGCTAATCTATTCCATATACATTGCCTCAATATTTCATTGATGACACGTTCCATTTATACTTTAATTCATACATAGATAGGCATATACATATCATATCATATAGGGAAACAAGCATTTCTTATCATGTAGACATTACACAATGCATATATAAAATATAATAAACCACCAAGTGTGTGACCTGGGTATAGTCAGTACACACCGACAGCTTCACGAGCAATACACCTACATCTGCACGAATAAATGAAACATATATACACACTGTGCAGACTAATCAAATGACAGCAATAACAATACAACAAATACGTTTAGTTATTGTTGATTAATGAGAAACATTTAAAATATATATAATGGTAAATCCTGCTTCATTCTTACATTCTTACATTCACACATTATACATTCATACATTTACACATTATACATTCATACAACAGCTGTATAGTACTTAAAGATTAAGTTTAACACTGATAAATAGCTTACTGAATTATTTAATTATTTACCATTTGTAAATAATTAGACTTATAATGCATTTACATTCTGCAACACAACTAGTTATCACAAACTACTCAATATTTACAATATGACAAAGCAGCCAAATTATCAACGCATAAACACAATATGCGTATACATCCAATGAGTATGTACAAACTCAAAAAAGTATGGAAATAAACTAACCTTCAGAAATGATCCCAAGAGCTCCTATAAATGTCCAAATAAGTCAAAACGTGTGAGCTTCAAAATCCACAAATGCCTTGTGACCAGTTGACAGTTGAAACGTTCTGAACCTATAATAAACTTTAAACCTTAAAACAGGGGACAGTAAGCTAACAAGGTTTATGACAAAGGGACAGTAAGTGGAGCGCTTGGGCAGGCTATTGTGTCGCAGTGCTTTAGGTGAATGTGGCTGAGGCAGAAAACTCATGCAGTAAGCTGAGAGAGGGGTTAAGAGAAGCTGAAGAGTGAAGTATATAATGTTTAAAATACACTAAACTGAATATTTAATTTAGTTAAAACTAACGAATAAAAAACACTAAATATATACAAACATTTCATCCTGTCACAGTAAGAACTAAATTATGTTATTGAAAGCAAAAGGTGTCATTCCTTCTGAAACTGAAATGGTCATTTTGAGAGCAATTTGATGGGTTTTGATCAGTTGATCAAATAGAATGCTAGTTCTCCTGTTTTATACCTAGTACTTGTCTAAATTTATTTAGAAACAGTTTATTTTTAAGCTTAACACGTAATATTTATGTGTTTATATTTTTGCAGAAAAAGTATGGAACTGAAGAACATGAATTTGAGAACCTAAGTCGTGGTTATTACATTGTCCAGGTAAAGTTATCTCCCCTTCATTTTCATTGAAATATTGTTTTATTTATTGCCAATATTTGATTTTGACCTGAGGGGCAGATAATACATTTCATTTTCAGGCTTTCTGTGAGTGAGTTTAACAGTGTTCCAAGGATTACGGCATCAGCAGACCTCCCTATTGGGGGAATAAAAGCAGCATTTTAGCATAACAAGTGAATGTTTTAACCTCTAAGCTAGCTGCAAACCTTAGGGTGCCGTTAACAATCCACTATAGACACCACTACTTGTCATGACTATTCCCAATGAACCAGTGAGTGAGCAAATAAAGTTTTATGGAACAGTTTGCTTCCACAAACTGGTCCGGGTTAGAATATTGATCTTCATTAACCCATGCTTGTCGTAAGAGGCGACTAACGGGATCAGGTGGTCAGGCTCACTGACTTGGTTGACACATGTCATCGGTTCCCAATTGCGTAGATCGATACTCATACTGTTGATCACTGGATTGTCTGGTCCAGACTCGATTATTTACAGACCGCCGCCATATAGCTGGAATATTGCTGAGAGCGGCGTTTTACAACAAACAATCAAATAAGTTAACTTGATCTATGTTAGGAAGGATAACAATATATGGAACAACGACTTTTTTTTGTGAGAGCGACGTTTTGGTGTAGGTTCTGACATGGTTATCAAGCAAGTGATGAGCAGCAGAAGTATAGAGGAGCATATAGCCATATAAACAAGTTAGAGGAGATGTTTGTACCGTACAATAGGGATTAGGAAGCCAGACACAATAACAACACATGGGCTTTGATAAAAGCGTTAACAAATAACGCCTGCAAAATACACAAGGGGATAGTGAAGCCTGTGGTATACATAAACTGGGGATTATCGATGATGAGGACGGTTGATTGATGGCTGGAGTATTTGTATGTAGATGGCTTCTTGGAGTTTCCTGAGTTTAAAGTCTTTGAGGTTGGTTTTAGGGTTCGGGTTTTGTCCCACTGGATGCTGTGGTTGGGATTGTCTTTGATGTGATCTGATAGGGCTGATTTAGAGTCACGTTTAGATACTGAGGTCTGATGCTCTTTGATTCAGGTTTTGAGGGTCTTCATGTTTCACCTACGTTGGTCTGTCCACAATCGCATGGGACGTGGTAAACTGTTCCCAGTCGTTGTTTCTGGCTGGTTGGTGGTTTGCCAGTCGCTTTGATGGAGTTGAGGATGCTGTAGTTGTTTCCTTTGAAACCCACATCTATATTGGCCTGTTTTTAGGAGTCTCTGGACTTTGTGGCTGACAATTCCATAGTAGGGAGGCTGATGACCAAGGGTGCAGATTGTTGACGGGTGGATTTCTGTTTTGTTGTTGAAGTTCTGTATGGTTTGTTGCACAAGCTGTTCGGGGTAGTTGTTGTACCGTGTGAAGACTTGTTTTGGTGCTGGAGTTCGGCGGTAAGTTGTTGCTTGGTGGAGCAGATATTGTGGGCCTCGACATACTAGGGTGGAGATGATTCCTTTATTGACTTGGGGTGGATGATTGGAAGCGTAGTGAAGGTACTGGTCTGGGTTGGTTTTCGGTATACTGTAGTGCTAAGTTTATTATTGGATGACAAAGGTATCGTCCACTTTCCGGAACCAACAGAGGGGTGTTGTGGGGGATGTTTCCAGGGCTTTTTCTTCCAGGTGGGTCATGAAGATCTCAGTGATTAAGGGCGATAGTGGGGAACCCATGGGGAAGCTGTGGGTTTGCTGCTGTATGTTGTCCCACCAGGTGAAGTATGTGGAGCTGATGCAGGAGTGTATCAGTTGGATGATACTGTCAGTTGTTAGACAGGTTTCTAGGGATGGGTGATTTCATCTACGTGGTTTCTGATGATTTCAAAGACTTTGTCACATGGAACATAAGTGAACAGGTCAACAACGTCATAGCTTATTAATTTGCCGGGTTGGTTGATGTCGTGGATCTTCTTACAGAAAGCGGATGAATCTGGGATGAAGGATTTAGCAGTTTTTCCGGAGTGGTAAGAGGAGGCGGGATAGATATTATGCTGTATTGTAGTGGATAGGAACAGACTGAAAGACAAACTTTCACAAGGTCCTTATGGATTTTAATGGTGGGACAGGCATATGGTGAAAAATAAAAGAATTGAAATAACGAGACATTTTGGTTGAAACAAAATAATTTATTTAAGTATTAATGAGGTACATAAATGTGGTCAACTGTCAATGGAAACACAGAAAATTATCTGTGCTAAGATGTATGATGCGGAATGTCTTTTTCTGGGATGTGTACATGTTTCCATGTCTTACATATTTCTGTTTCAATCTTGTTGTACCCATGAAGGTCCGGGTTAGAATATTGATCCTCAGTAACCCATGCTTGTCGAAAGAGGCGACTAACTGGATCGGGTGGTCAGGCTCACTGACTTGGTGTACATGTCATCGGTTCCCAATTTGTGCAGATCGATGCTCACGCTGTTGATCACTGGATTGTCTGGTCCAGACTTGATTATTTACAGACCGCTGCCATATAGCTGGAATATTGCTGAGTGCGGCATAAAACTTAACTCACTCACTCAATCTTCTTGTTGACTGTTTTGCAGGTGGAACCAAAGACGGTGAATAACACGAGCCCATGTGGAAAGACAGTTTACAAGGGCATTCAACTGATTTATTTGGGTGACTACAGTGTGTGAGTGAGGACACGAATGACAAGAGCGAATGCCTTCTGATGGGGACACCTACATGTAGATCTCAATGCTCAGTGTCAAATTTTGAATGCGGTACTTCCCAGATCCCAGTGTCTGATACTACTAAGAATGTTGGTGTGATTCTCGATCCAGAGCTTTCACTCGATCACCATGTCACCAATCTGATAAAAAGCTGATTCTTTCATCTGAGAAATATCGGGAACATATGCAGAGTACCTAACAAAGGACTCTGCTGCCCTCCTCGTCCTGTCTCTGGTGATGAGTAGCCTGGACTATTGTAACAGCCTCCTGGTCGGTGCTACAAAATCTCAGATCTCCAGAACCCGTGAAGGTCCGGGTTAGAATATTGATCTTCATTAACCCATGCTTGTCGTAAGAGGCGGCTAACGGGATCAGGTGGTCAGGCTCACTGACTTGGTTGACACATGTCATCGGTTCCCAGATCAATGCTCATGCTGTTGATCATTGGATTGTCTGGTCCAGACTCGATTATTTACAGACCACCGCCATATAGCTGGAATATTGCTGAGTGCGGCGTAAAACTAAACTCACTCATTCAATCATCTCCAGACTATAACGTATTTCACATGTTTCCAAGAGAGTTTCAATGGTCATTTAACTTTCAGGACAAAAGTTGTCCCTCATGGCCGGACCAAATGATTTGGCCATAGAACATTGTTCTTATTCTCCTGCTTCTGCCTGGAATAGCCTACCCACTGAAATTAGATGCTGTCAAGATTATTCTCCCTTTCGCTCTTATCTCAAGACCTGTTTCTACAGACTCGCCTATTCCAAATGATTCCCACCACTGTTCTGTGTTCCTTCTTGTGTGCACCTTGAAAGGCATGGAAAGGCGCCTCATAAATGGACTATTGACAGACAGACAGACAGACTTACATCCGTGCAGCAACAACTGTGAATTCTATAGTGCAAGGATTACTGATTCCTGATAGAGCTGTTTGGTTCTACTTAGGCCTGAGCAATCTTTGGAACTTGGTTCTTTGTCGCTGTAGTATCTCATGATGTCAACATTACAATACCTCTTTCATAGTTCACTTCATTACACATCGACTGATATTTAATCAGTCAGGCTGACCCCCTATTTATGCCACTTTTGCATGGGTTCATTTCCACAACTCAGCATTTCAGACCTGATTTTACACATCCATGCCCATTTTGTTATTAAAAAAAGTGTAAACAGCTTTAAAAAGCCATAGTTCAATAGTTTTAACAATAAAATGACCAAAATTTTGAAGTCAGAAGAGAAAGTGTTGGAAATATCTAATGAAACATAGTGTCGTTTCATCTTCTAATTGCATGGCATGTGTTTAATTAAGCCATATAATTTCTGCATGCACAAGGAATATAAAGATCATAACTGTAGGTATACGAAATACTGCTACATGTGGTTTGCCAACAAACCGTAATCACTAGAGTACATCTGAACGAAACAAAATTATGAAAATAATGTCTTTAGATAATGGTGTTCTAAGGGCCAACTTGATTTCATCACTAGGGTGGCCTGTTGCCAGTAGATATGATGGTATCTCTAAGATTTAGGGGATTCAGTGTCTTCACTCCAGAGTGTTTAGGTTTAGGTGTATTTTACAATCAGCAATATTAAAATTATATTTTAACTGGCCCATCTAAAAGGTCTAAGTTCTTTATCACAGACAATTTTAAGCCTCCTTAGCAAAATTTATTATAAATGATATCATTTTATGTTTGTTTACATCTGAAGCATTTAACATGCTAATAGATAAGTGTCACCAAAATGTTAGGTGAGCTACAGGCACTAATAATTGGTTGTTGCTACTTCTCCTTAGATCCCCCCTTGAAAGAAGAAGACTCGACCTTGAAGATCCTTCTAGCGGCAATTAGTGGAGCAGTTCTGGCCGTGATCCTCTTGATCGTCATCTGCTGGCATGGCCCAGGATGCATCAGATCAGCACACGGTAAGTCAACTATTCAGGAAGGGTTCGAAACATTTTGGTACCTGCTATTTTGTTATAATGAACTCGAAAGGCTAACTAGAAGAAGTTTTGAATATTTAACAGACAAAACCATTAGGGATCATTGACAGATTGTAATTTGTCAGTGAGCATATCATGTATTGTATGGCTGCATGAAAACTTGTGTTGTTCCAGGGCGGTGGGGAGCTTAAGAACAACAAACACCTCATGACACATTGGTATTCACATTCTCTTTACATGTATATAGTTTCAGGAAATGGACAGACATTATTGGTGAGTGCTAGCGATGTCCAGGGCAGAGTGAAGAAGCTGTCATGTGTCCTTCGACAGAACCTGCATGTCGACGTCCACTACGATCAGGAACAACTACAGCACATCACAGCAGGGACCGGACTGGCGAAATGGTTTGAGGACAAGGCAAAGAATTCTAACATCCTAGTTGTTTGCTCCAAGTTAGGAAAAGAAATATCGGAAAAGAAACAAAGGGAAAATTATTTCTACCAGGCTCTGGAACAGATTGGACAAAATCTGCATTATCCAGCCGTGTATATTTTGTATGTTTTGATGGACATCATGAGCATATAGATGTCTTCTCATCCATTAACAATCATAATGGGGTTAGGATGAAGCCAGGGTTGTTTCAGTCACTCTTCAAGGAATGATGGAGTGTATGTTTTGCCTGATGACTTTTCAAATCTAGGACACAAGCTGAAGAAAGGTGGAATGGATAAAAATTATAAGTTATCAGAGTCTTGGAAAGATTTCTGCAAAGAAATGGTAAATCGTCAACCACCAAGAATGAACTTCAGAAGGAACCATGCAACATCCTCCATAGCAGAAAGTGATGCCTTATCTCGCATGACTACTGAAACACTTATGCGGTATCCACAGGCTCAGTCCGTGGGTTCCATCTCTGATCAAAATGACGACGAGAGTGGGGAAGATGAAGAGCCATGTCAGCTTGCCTTAGCAAGCAGATTCTTTCTTGATCAAAAGAATTGGAGACCTTCAACAAATCTCTTGACTTTGAAAGAAACAGATCTTGATAAGAGTTGTGTAAGTTTAGAAGAGGTTTCAGATAAACCTCATGGTCAAAGCGAACTTGAATACAAACACTCACCAGATCTGCCAAGTACTTATGCTCTAGACTCTAGATTTGTTTCAAGTCCAATGAACTCAGTTGATCCAGTGTACACTGAAAAGAAATATATACAAAATGAGTGTCATCCATTGCAACCCCAGCACGGGATGGGAGATGGACGACAAAGAATATTGAATGTTGGTTATTGCAATGTTGATCAGCCGAACCTTCATCCTGACCAGTATGGAATCGGAACAGGGAAATGTGATTATAGTTTGTCAGGTCAAGGTTATAACCCTTACCTTCATTATGGCCAGCAGACATTCATTGACAGTGGACATTATGACAACAGTCGACACTGTATGACGATAGTGGACAGTGCGACGATTCTGTGGGTCACAGCTGTTCTGCAGGCTGTTTTGATCCACGGGGTCAGATGTTTCAGCATCACATGCACGAAGGACCATCCACTTTTTGACAAGCAGGGCCATACAGGCAGGTATGTTTCCCCTAACCAGCTTCTACAGCACCTTCCTACAGAGCTGCAATCAGACTGGTCCAGTGTCCATCCTGCCATGTATGGGACGCCATTCATCCCCTCACAGCACCCATATCTTTATCAAGAATATGATAATTCTTTGTTTCAAGGTCAAAGTATTCCTAAGAGAAAACAGTTTGTGAATAATCCACAAGTTCAAAGACAGTCTGCTCCTGGTCCTTGGGATGGAGACTTGCAGGAAGGTGTTCCATTGTTCAATCCTTCCTCTGACGTCTGTGGTCCAGTGTTACCACACGTGGTACGGACAGACTAAGCTCAGGAAGTGAGTGGGATGCACCCAACATTGATTTCTGTCCACCTGATGTTTTTGGTGGAAGTGATGATAAATCATTAACTTTGCATGGAATCAGGACAGTTTGTCATCGTACCACTGTACCATGGTACGTTACCAGGCAACAGTCAAAACTGTGCACCTGACAGCAGTGAAGACTCTGCTCCTCATGTTGAAGTGAAGTCGTCCAGTAACCCTGAACTAAAAGTTGACGGCGACCAATCACAAGTTTCAGATCAAGACAGGAATTTACGCGATCAGTCTCTGGAAGAACAGAAGAGGCAGAGCAGGTAGACCCAGATGACTTTGACCCTGTGTCCAAACAGGGTCATAATGCTGCGAGACAAAAACATGTTAGAACTGTCATGTTATTATCCTGGTACATGTATTAGGGATTGTGGACGCTTCAGAAACATTTAATGCTTTCTCGCTGATTTTACATGAACAATTGTAAAACATTTTTTGTAAATATATACGACAACTTTATCTTAAACACAAGCCATCATCCACATATTTATCATGTCTATGTGCTGCAACACACTTAGTTTCAGCACGAATATACACGGCCGTCCAAAAATATCATCTGATGTTTATCTTCCGGATGTGTCCCCAAGTGTCTGAAGGTCGCTGTTGTTAAGCCACTCCTGAAAAGCCTGGCTTAGACGCTGACACAATTATCGAACTATAGGCCTGTCTCTAATTTATCCTTCATATCAAAATTGCTTGAGAAGGCAATCAAGGTACGCCTTGTTGATCACTTGACCTTGAATGATCTCTATGACGTGCATCAGTCTGCATATCGCTCCGATCATTCCACAGAGACCGTACTTCTGCATGTGATGGAGAGACTTCTTGCTGCAGCTGATGCGGGCTATGTTACAGTTCTAACGCTGCTTGATTTATCAGCGGCTTTTTGATACCATTGACCATGTTCAACTAACTGAGTGTCTGAAAACAGAATTTGGTATTCATGGCACAGCTCTTGGATGGTTTGTCTCATACCTCAATAATAGGACACAATCTGTGGTCATTCAAGACGTGAAATCGTGTACGCATCAGCTTACATACATACGGAGTGCCACAAGGTTCCGTTCTTGGGCCCATTCTCTTTTCACTCTATATGAAGAATCTCGGCAATATCATTCGGCATCATGTTGTGATGTACGAGTCATATGCTGATGACACCCAGCTGTTGCGTTCCACTAAACCGGACTCACTTCCAGCCGATATGTCTATAATCGAAGACTGTATCCTTGACTCCAAAGCATGGATGATACAAAGGAAGCTGAGATTAAATGACAGTTAAGACCGAGGTTTTGCTGTGTGGATCACCCAGTAGCACTGCTAAGGTGGATGTGTCTTCGTTGGTAGTGGGTAATGAGAAAGTTCCTTTCAGTGATTCCGTGAAAGACCTTGGTGTTTTCTAGACTCAAATTTATCCATGGAAACACACGTAAACTCTGTTTGTAAGTCATGCTATTTTCATCTCAGAAATATTGCTTCCATTCGTGATATTCTGACATTTGATGCAGCTCACCACCTAGTTCGTTCACTTGTTCTCTCACGTTTGGATTATTGCTGCAGTCTTCTTGTAAATATCCGCCAAGATCTATTGTCCAAGCTCCAGAGGATTCAGAACTCTGCGGCGCGATTGATTTGCCGAGTCAACAAGCGCAGTCACATTACACCATTGCTGATACGCTTACATTGGCTGCCCACGAAACAGAGAATAGAATATAAAATCCTCACTCTCGCTTTCAAGTGCCTCCATGACAAAGCTCCAATCTATCTGAAAGATCTCCTCAGTGAATATGTCCCACCACGGCTTTTAAGATCAAGTTCTAATTGTCAGTTGAATGTCCCCAAGGTCAGATTAAAGTCATATGGACATAGACAGTTCTCTTACACAGCTCCCCTTTTCTGGAACTCACTGCCTCTTCACATCCGACAAGCCGCGTCCGTGGAATCTTTCCAGTCCCAACTGAAAACTTTCCTTTTTAAACAAGCTTATGAACTTTAATCCTTTCTTCAGATCACTCTATCTTTTAGCGCCTAGAGAAATTGCCTTGCAGTTTGATTTGTGCGCTATACAAAGAACTTACTATTATTATTATTATTATTGTTGGACATTGATTGTACATGCAGTTCCTATTCCTACAGTAAATGTTACACATCTGTCACCACCATTTAAAATTTATGGATACAGGGGAAATTTGTGAGAAAAATCACTTAGGCAGGGTTTTACACAGACTTTTAAAAATGGGAGTCATGGTGACTCACAATATTTATGTTTCGGAGTCATTTTCAATATTTGGGAGTCATGAAAATTTTAGTATTTCTTTTTGTTAATCATTCTCAGTATGTAACTGTCTATGTCACACCACCAAATGAAACTACAGCATTGTTCAATTCAAACAGCCAGGATTACTGTCTCCCTGAGTTCTCTGGAACAATCTGATAGCTCTGTAAAAGTCAAACTATCATCGAACAATATCATTTTTGCTTATCAAATCGATTTTATTGAACTGAATTGTGACGGCCACCCATTAAACTTGCGTCAAGCTTGACTCGTATGATAATATTTTGAGAGTAAAATTGTTGCGTCAAATACGCAGGAATCGCGCATTATGTAAAACCCTGCTTAAGTGTGTCTGCTTTCAATCAGTTTCAAAGGGAAGCATCATGTGAATAAATGTCTGTACAGATATTGAGGTAAAACTATACAAGGAATAATGTAAATTGTTATACTGACGTTTTGTAGTATCCTGTATATTGGTACTTACCCCAGCTTCGTGTGTGGAGTCAGGTTGGAATAGCACAATGCCAAAACTGACGACCCAATCAATATTCATTTGTGTTTCAGAAATTCTGTATGAGGATTTTAGCAACAAGTACATCCTGTCTCCAACTACAGTAGGAAAATTTGTTATTACATCTATCAAAATTTAGAACCACAATCTAACACTGGATAATCTTAGATTTTTGGATAACTGATTTCCGCTGCATTTAATCAAATAGGAATAATTAATTATGATAACAGATGGTAAATATGTTTGATAACCTGATCAAATTTGGGTCACATTTGCGTAGATGGGTGCTCATGATGTTGATCACTGGATTGTCTGTTCCAGACCCGATTTACAGACCACCACCATACAGCTGGTGTATTGCTTAGTATGGTGTTAAGCAACAGACAAACTAAACCTGATCAAATTTTGCTAGGAATATTAGACAAATTGTTAATTCATCGTAAAGTATTTACCATGGTTACAGGAATGATATCTGAGGATGTTTGATTAAATGTTTGTCATCATGAGTCATATACCCTGTGTGTTCAAATTGTAAATTCATCTTAATGTATTTACCATGGTTACAGGAAGTGAGGTGAGTTGAAATTTGGTTTAAGGTCGTGCTTTAATATGAGGACGTGCATGTGTGTGTCTGTGTATGTGTGGCTGCTTGTACTAGCCCAGACTTAAGCTGGTTTTACAGTGCTAGCCCACTGAGATACCATGCTGCAGTGAAGCATCAATAACCCACTCCAGACACATTATACTGACTCCGAGCCGACCAGTCCTTGTTGTACCCATTAATGCCGACCAACAAGGGACCAACAAGTACCATATTTTAACGTCTTTTTGGTATGACGTGGTCGGGCGGACGCTCAAACAACT